CGAAAGAACAACTCGATGAAAGCACCCCTCACCGCGAACCATTTGAGCCAAACCCGACATACGCAGCCATCGCCCAGAGCGAGCCGTCTAGGAAAGACACCTAGTTCTTGGACAGCTGCTGCGGGCAGCACATATGCTCCTCAGGTCGCTTCGTTCAACGGGAACACCAACTTCAACGCGAAGTCGTAATCACCGTCGCCAACAACCAGAACATGCGCACAAGACGACAAGGCATCTTCCAACTTCAGTCAAGGGAGACCAAGTCGTATTACAAATGTCGAAGATTTTAATCGCAGAGGGACTCGGTTACAACTTACTTAGTGTCAGTCAGCTGATGGCGAAAGGAATTCACCTCGAAGCAGATAGCACCACTGAGGAGTTCAAGCTGTATCACGGGAGAGGAGGACTCTACATCGGCAAGGTCGTGTTGAAGAACAATGTCTTCGTCCTCGACTTTGTTCCAGATCAAGGCACCGCCGACAACGACGGAATAGTCACCTTCACTCCCTGGACACATCCGCCACATCTCGACCCCGACTTCAGCCCCGGCGGCTTCTGGTACTCGAACACCATACTTGAGGCAGAACAAACACGAGCATTAGTGACAATCCAACAAGCAACAGAGACAACGTCGGCAGCAACGGAAACAACATCGGCAGCAGCAGAGACAACATTGGCAGCAGCAAAAACAACATCGACAGCAGTAGACACATCATAGGCAGCAACAGACACAACATCGGCAGCAGCAGCGACAACACCGATCACGACACCAATCGCGGGTCCTTCAACGGCACCAGCTCCAACCGACGATACTCCACCGACTCCTGCGCAGCAGTTGACTCGCATTCCACGAGAAGTCCACAGAAGCGCCAACTTCACCGCTGGTTTTTACTCCAACTCCGATATGTACAGGCATTCACCGGGACATCGTGCCGACGAATCTTTATGGCATCAAAGGTTAGGACATCCCAGCAACAAAGCGCTGAACAACACAGTAAGAGCAGGAGTACTTGATAAAGACTCGCTACTCCTACCCGACAGCAGAGAACTCCAAGGAGTCCGAGGAACATGCTTCATCTGCCCTGAAGCCGACTTACCGCATCAGCCGTTCGTCCCTTACCACAACCCAAGTGCACCGGCATACACACCTCTAGAGAAGGTGTACAGGGACATGCTGTACAACCGCGAACCTGGTCAAGGAACATACAACTACGTCATCACTTTCATGGACACCGCCACACGATACGTATGGCACCTTAACCTTCCGAGTCGCGACATGGCCTTTGAAGCTTACTTTGCCTGGCTTCCAGTAGCAAAACGAGAATCGGGAGTGAACCTGAAAAGCTTCCAGTCAAACGGGGGAGGGGAATATCAGCCACAGAGGTTCACGCAGTACTTGGCAGAGAGAGGCATCAAGCGGCTCATCTCCCTTCCCTACGCTCATCAACAGCAAGGCGTGGCAGAAAGTATGAACAGGACCCTCGAGAACACCATGCGCAAATTGCTACGTGGCATGCAGCTACCTAACCACCAGTGGCCCGAGGCGATGGACCATGCTGTCATGCTGCACAACTTGCTTTCGTCATCATCGCTCCCGAACAATGCATCACCGCATCTGCTGTGGACAGGAAATTTGGGCAACACAAAAATGTTACGAGTGTTCGGCTGCATGGTACAGTACCGACCCCCAGCTGCACGCGCCGGTCGTTTCTCCCAACGCGCACAATGGGGGCTACACCTGGGCATCGAAAAACACTACAACGCATGGAAAATCTTCAACGTCCACACAAAGGAAACAGTAGCAGCAAGTGACGTGATCTTCTACGAACGTCTCACTCTCCCGACGTACCTGTACAACTTGGAAACCTCACGGGATATCACAGGTGGATTTCGTGGGGACTGAGCCTTCGCTTCGGCAGCAGATGAAGGTGATCAGGACGAGCAGAACGTGGACAGAGCTTCGGAAGAAGCCGGACCTCTTACCTACTGTTTGGTGGATGTCCCAATGGACGACGACAACCCTCGCGAAAGCATCAGCGCCGAAGTCTTCTACGACCTCGCTAACAACGGTTAAGTTACACCCACGCAAGTCAACACCGATGAAGCAGAACGCATAGGGCCCAATCTCTTACCTAATCCAGAAGCAGGAGACGATGCAGCTTATCCCGAGGACGCAAATCTTCCCCGCTACACACAGTGTGGACTGCAGATACTGGGACTCGTCACCGCCGTCCATGGAGCAACGCCACCTAAGGAGCCTCCAACAGTTCAGCAGGCTCTAGGGGGAGAGCTCAGGGAAAAATGGCGCGAAGCCATGGACAAGGAGTTAAAGGCGCTGTAAGAACGCAACACCTGGAAGGTCGTACCTATCGGGGGGGCACGGAACAAGACCATTCTCACCGGAAAATGGGTATTTCGCGTGAAAACAAAGGCAGACGGAACCATCGACAAATTCAAGGCGCGCTGGGTCGTACGTGGCTTCGACCAAGAACACGGACGAGACTTCACCGAAACGTTCGCACCGGTTAGTCGACACACCTCACTACGGGTTCTCCTCGCGATAGCCGCCATGAAGCGGAAGAAGCTTCGTCAAATCGACGTCGCCAACGCCTTTCTCTACGCACCCGTCGACGCTGAAATCTTCGTCGAGCAACTGCACGGCTCCAACGCAGACCCCAATCAAGTCTGTCAGCTACTGAAGTCACTGTACGGCATCAAACAGGCCCCGAGACTATGGCAACAGTACCTACACGCCCGGCTAATCCGCATCGGATTTAGGCAACTTCCGCACGATCAAGGGATGTACCGCCTCACGAAAGGAGCCGACTACATCCTGCTCATCGTCTATGTGGACGCTTTACTCTACATCGGCTCTACCGTTGGTGTCACAACCTGGTTCGGAGGGGAGCTGCAGCGGGACTTAACTCTTACCGTTTCATCGACCGTGACGCAGTACCCAGGACTCAACATACGGGACGACGAAAACACGATCCATCTCAGCGCCGCAAAATACGCCGACACCATCGCCAAACGCTTCGGATTAACTCCAACTACTATCTCCACACCGTGCCCTTACACCTCCGCGAACCACGAAGGAATCACCGCACCACTCAAGACTGCCGGCATACGCGACTATCAGCGAAAGCTAGGATGTCTGCTATTCGCAGCCGTCGCCTGCTGACCAGATCTATCGTATTCGGCAAGCCAGCTCGCCACCTACCTTAAGAAACCTGAAGCAGAGCACATGGCGGAACTCGACCGCGCACTCCACTACCTCGTCAGCACCCCGACAATCGGCCTGACCTACCACAAAAACGGAGCCTCGACACCTAAGCTAATCGACTATGTAGACGATGACCATGTCGGCGACGCAGACAACAGGCGCTCGCGTAGCGGCTACGTCTACTGACTCGAACCTATCGGGCCTATCTCGTGGCAGTCAAGCAAGCAGGATCTAATCGCTCTCTCCTCAGCTGAAGTAGAATATATTGCACTCTGTTCAGCCACCAAGGAAGGCTTGTACCTTCGCGAACTACTGGAAGAAGCGAAGTTGACCCAGTTACCCACCTTCACTCTCTTATGCGACAACCAATCTGCAATTCGCATAGCGAACAAAAATGGGTTCGCGAACCAGACAAAGCATATCGCCTTGCGATATTTCTTCGTGAAAGACGAGATCGAGAAGGGGAGACTCGAGCTATCCTGCTGTCCCACGTCCGAGATGGCTGCTGATTACTTGACCAAGAAGCTCGGAAAGCAGAAGTTCGAGTACTACATGCTGCTGACTTCACAAAGCCACGTCACCAGCAGCGACACTCCAGAAGCGAAGGGGAGTGTTGGAAACAATTAATTAAACGCTTCTTACGTGTCGTAACACCGAACTACAAACGAGACGAACTACAGAGGAACAATGGCGAGTCAACCATCGGAGGTTGACAAGAGAAGTAACTACTGGAGGTTACGCGAAGTTCAAAGGACAGCGACCTTTGACTTGACAAATAAAGCGCGACAGCAAGGACAAACAACTGACTCGCTATTGAGCAGTTGCCCGAGTCGTCACTGTATCGAACCGCAACAGCAACAGTAAAACGGTTACCGTAAGCCCCCAGATAGAAGCGCAAGCCTCGGATAAGCGCCGGCGCTTATAAAAGGATGAGGGCGCTTATATCCGGTCCTCGATTATAAGCGCACCCCCTAGAAAAAGATGATATATTATAAGCGCATGTTTGTTTTTCATCTGAAAACCTGTCAAATTTCAGAAACGAATTTCACATTATCAGGGAAACGAAGTACAATTTCGATTTCCCACACTCTGATCTCACTTTTTGCGCGTCTAGTCAGCATGTGCTGTAATTCTGTCAGTGTGAGCTGGCAGGGAATCACTCCCTGCCAAGCTACGCGAGAATCGGATTCGCGACCCTATATGTTTTCGACTCGATTACAATCGGCAGAACGCGATATACAGTTTGGTGTAAAACAAATATATATTGATTTTGCCATTTTATAAGCGCCGGCGCTTATAAAATTCCTCAATTATAAGCGCACCCCCTAAAAAACAGTGTTTTTTTATACCCCCAGGTGCGCTTCTATCCGGGGGCTGACGGTATTAGCTGCATCTTTTCATATTCCTTGTACTCTTATAAAACCTAGTATCTTCTTCCTTTAATCAATCTATCTTGCCCTCACATACCAGCGCAAGGTGGCTCAACACTTGTTACTAAACGCTTCCGCAAATACAACACTTCTACTCAGAGTTTAGCCTTGAAAGATCCTAAGGGCCTTTCTCAGCCCAACAGTATTTTTGCACTGACAAAACCAGTATAAACTCAACCCCTAACACTGACTTGGACACTACTTTTGGGCAGGGAATACGGTACTGATCCTTCAGCATGCCCGCCCTGAATCCAATCTGAGGGCCTGGTCCGGTCCCCACCAAGGTGTCACACTGCCATCACCCCCCCTTGCAACCCATGCAGTTCTTGTGGTAACATGCGACTCCACTAGTTGAAATGCTGTTGCTGCTGCTGCTGCTGTTGCTGCTGTTGCTGTTGCTGCTGTTGTTGTTGCTGCTGCTGCTGCTGCCTCTGCCTCTGCAGGTGCAGTCGCTGCATCTGCCTCTGCTGACTCAGCGATGCCATCGGCTGCTGCAGAAGCTGCGGGCCCCCGTGCCCCGGTCCTCCCCCACCACCGGGGACCATGGGCGAGGCTGCCTGTTGCTGCTGCAGCTGCTGCTGGTGCTGCAGGGGGAGCATGGGCGAGTGCGGGTGGGAGGCGTGCATGAGCTGTGGCGAGGGAGCGTTGTACGACAGGGCGGGCGACGGAGCCTGGAACACGGGGGGTGACGGGGCTGAGAACCCGCCCGTGCCGGCCTGCAGGCCGTACTGGGGGGGGCTCGTGGCCAGGTGCATCTGAGCAGATGCCACCTGCCCAAGGTTGCCCGGGGACGGTGCAGCGTAGGCTCCTCTCATCTGCGGCGCTGCTATGGGCCCTGCTGCACCCATGGTGGCGCCCAGTGCCGATAGCGCTCCTCCTCCACCCCCCCCTGCCACCTCTGCCCCGCCCATCGCTGCTGGCCCTGCGTGGGAAGGGGCGCCAGCACCACCAAAGTCCCCCATGCCCCCTGCTGCAGCCCCACCAGACCCCGCTGCTGCGCCAGGCACACCCACCCCACCACCTCCTCCTGTTGTAATGCCTGTACTTGGCAACCCTGCACCTGCAGCTTGGCCAGACCCCCCCATGGGTACGTTCGGCCGAACCAGACCCGAGCCTGAGGGCGGCATTCGGCCGAGCGGCACCGCTCCTCCTCCAGAGGCTGCGCCTGTGGAGGCGGGCATGGTGCCATGCCAGCCCCCCGGCACGCCCAGCAGCGCCCCTCCCAGCCCCTCAAACGTGCGCATGCCACTCGGCATCCCCAGCAGCATTGTCGGCGCTCCCGATCCCCCTCCTGTGCTGCCCCCGCCGCCAGCTGTCAGCATGGGATTGGCTGCAGCAGACGGGCGTGCGATGCCGATGGGAGCGGCGGTGGAGAGGGAGGGCAAGGGGGTGGTGAGCGGAGCCGTGGCGGGGCGCACAGGCAGAGATGCCGACCCCGCTGCTGCCCCGGGCGGCCGCGGTGCCGCCCCACCCGCTGCACTGGCAGCAGCAGCGGCAGCAGCAGCAGGTGTGGGCGCGGGCGAGGGGGCAAGAGGGGCGGTCGGCGGGGAGGGGCGAGCAGCAGCGGAGGAGAGCGGGTACGATGCGGTAAGGGAGGGAGCGGCAGATGCGGTGGGCGGCAGAGGAAGGGGTGCCGCTGCATGGGGCGAGGGCGGCAGTGGGAGGGAATGGAGAGGAAGAAGGGTAGTGTGGAAGGGAATGAGTGGGATAGAAAGCGAAGGATGAGTAGGGCTGGAATGGCATAACAGTGCGTGCGGGTTTGCATGATTTGGGTGAACTGCGGCCAGTGCCTACAGGTGCCATGCCAACACACAATGCACGGCGGCAGATAGGGCGGATGAGGGCAGTGGAGACGGGGGATGGGGGGGTGGGGGAGAGAAGGGACGGGGGCAGGGGAGAAAGGGGACAGGGACAGGGAAGAGAGGGGACGGGGGCAGGGGAGAGAGGAGACGGGGGCAGGGGAGAGAGGGGACGGGGGAAGGGGAGAAAGCGGATGGGGGCAGGGGAGAGAGGGGACGGGGGCAGGGGAGAGGGAGGGGGCAAGGGAGGGAGGGGACGGGGGCAGGGGAGAGAGAGGGGATGGGGGCGAAGGGAGAGAGTTGGCAACGTACAGGCAGGCGGGGCGGGTGATGAGGCAGGCACGTCAGTGTGCGCGGCAGTGGCAGTGGCGGTGGTGGCAGCAGCGGTGGCAGCAGCGGTGGCAGCAGCAGGTGCGGGTGCAGCAGTGGTGGTGGCGTCATGTGGGTGCTTCCTCTTGCGCGGCCGCATGTGTGGTGGCAGGGACGCTGCTGCTGGTGCCGCCTGGCTTGGGTGCGTGCGGTGGGCGGGAGGAGCAGGCCCAGCAGTGGCCGGCTGGGGGGCCACTCGGAACCCTGACGCCATGGGACGGGAAGCGAGAGGGGTGGGGGAGAAGGGAAGAGGAGTGGGGAGCGTGGAGAGGAAGAGAAATGCATGATGAGACGTGTGCAAATGGAGGGGAGCATCCAACACACACGTGTGGGCGCCCCGCCTTGCACCATAAACACCCCAACGCCCTATCCCCTCACACACCCTCGCCGGTGGCCAGTGCATTTCTGAGAAGCTTCTCCTGGTCGGCGACGCGGGCGAGAGCAGCCTTGTCCGTGCTGCCTGCGCCGTACAGCGCTGCCACGCTGGCCGCCGCCTGGCGCGCGCCGATGCCGTGCGCCTTGCGCGCATCGAGAATGACCTTCTCCGCGCGCTCACACGCCACGTCCACCATCTTCGCCTGCCCGGTGAGGGGACGAGCAGCGAGGGTCAGCGAGAGAGCGGATGGCAGGGAGAGAGGGTATGGCAGGGAGAGAGGGTATGGCAGGGAGAGAGGGAATGGCAGGGAGAGAGGGTATGGCAGGGAGAGAGGGTATGGCAGGGAGAGAGTGGCGGGCAGGGAGAGAGTGGCGGGCAGGGAGAGAGTGGCGGGCAGGGAGAGAGTGGCGGGCCGTGGGAGAGGGAAGGGAAGGGAGAGGAAAGGGTGTGAAGAGGGAGAGCAGCAAGTCTTCCATGGGCATGGCGGGGCTGCAGTGGTTGAGATCTGCATGTGACGCCATGCACACCCGCCTGCATGTGACGCCATGCACACCCGCCTGCACGTGACGCCATGCACACCCGCCTGCATGTGACGCCATGCACACCCGCCTGCATGTGACGCCATGCACACCCGCCTGCCGTGGAGGAGGGAGGGAAGAGTCGGGGCGTGAGGGGGAGAGGAGAGGGAGGTGCTGTGCTGTGGAGTGATAGAGAGAAGGGGGTAACAATGGGCAAAAGTATCACATAAATGTTGAAGAGATGAACAAGAAGCAGTAAGAATGGCGTTGACTGGCCGCCAAGCACACACACAGCTCGATGGCCATGCCACCACCGCCCACCCCACCTGCACCTTCCTCCACCCGTGGCTCTGCACCCACCCGTGCGCCTCGCCCCTCCACTGTGTGGCACACAGCACGACAAGGTGAGGCAAGGCACGGAGACGCAAGGCGGCGGGCACGCGCCCACCTGCACACGCCCACCTGCAGGCCCCCACCTGCACGCGCCCACCTGCAGCTGCAGCATCTCCAGCTGCTGCGCCACGGGCAGCGCTGCCAGCGGCGCCCTGAGCGCGTCCTCTCTTGCTCGCCCGTCCACCTCCATCTCCGGCAGCAGCTTGGACGACAGCATTATGGGCAGCACTGGTGGCCGGGGGAGGGGTGGCGAGGCAGGAGAAGAGGTGGCACAGAGGAGAACAAGGAAAGGGGGAGGTCGTGAGAGGTGGCGGGGTGGGCCCCCCACAACTGGTGGTGGCTATTGTGGTTGAACCATGATTGCTTGTGTTTCGAGACTCCACCGCAGCGGGGCTGGGCATCCCAACACCTATGATGGCCGCTACTGGTCCATGTGCCAGCTGCCCCTCCCCGCCTGCACTCATGCCTCCCAGCCCACGTGCTCACGAAGATCAACGAGTGCAAGTCTTCCTACCCTGGTTGCTTCATCCGCCTTCTAAGTGATAAGTACATCCCATTCATAGCACAAGCATATGAGCATAGCATAGCATACATGGTACTCAAAGGGGGCAACCATGTGGCAGCTCGTGATTGTGGGAAGGCTTGCAGCAACATTGGCGTGAAGGACGGTGGTAAGGACAAGCAGGACGGTGGTAAGGACAAGCAGCTCTGCGGCTTAACAACAGAATGAGAGTGAAGACGCTTAAGAATGGGAGTGGACTTTCACCTTGAAAATGTCTGCTAGTGTTATATTTTTAGAATGGGTTGGGTCTGGGAGGTGTGGTGAGGTATAGCTTCCGTGGGTGGCACGGATCTGCTGGCAAACTGCAAGCAGACTGCAAGAGCCACAAATCCGCATGCAATATGTGGGGTAGGCGTGGATCCCCCCACGTGTCAGCCAGCCACCGACAGATGGAAGGTGAAATGCCAGGTCTGTCTGCCACGCATTCAATGCTTCTCGCCCCTCCAACAATCCATTCCAACAGTGCGGCTTACCGGCAGCATTCTGAGCGGTGACGGTGGCGGGGCACACAGCGAAGGAGCGCAGCATGGGCATGACGTCATCCACGAGGCTGTAGAGCCCCGCACTCACCACACTCAGCGCCGCCACCGCCTCCGCCCTGATGCCCGCCCGGGGGATGGGGGTGGGAAGGGGCGAACAAGGCAAGGAGAGGAAGGCAAGAAGGGAGTGCGGAGAAAGGGGTGGCGAGGCGGGTGAGGCGAGGAGTGGGGGGTGAGATGAGGAGTGGGGGGTGAGATGAGGAGTGGGGGGGTGAGATGAGGAGTGGGGGGTGAGATGAGGAGTGGGGGGTGAGATGAGGAGTGGGGGGTGAGATGGGGAGTGGGGGGTGAGATGAGGAGTGGGGGGTGAGATGAGGAGTGGGGGGTGAGATGAGGAGTGGGGGGTGAGATGAGGAGTGGGGGGTGAGATGAGGAGTGGGGGGTGGGATGAGGAGTGGGGGGTGAGATGAGGAGTGGGGGGTGAGATGAGGAGTGGGGGGTGAGATGAGGAGTGGGGGGTGAGATGAGGAGTGGGGGGTGAGATGAGGAGTGGGGGGTGAGATGAGGAGTGGGGGGTGAGATGAGGAGTGGGGGGTGAGATGAGGAGTGGGGGGTGAGATGAGGAGTGGGGGGTGAGATGAGGAGTGGGGGTGAGATGAGGAGTGGGGGGTGAGATGAGGAGTGGGGGGTGAGATGAGGAGTGGGGGGTGAGATGAGGAGTGGGGGGTGAGATGAGGAGTGGGGGGGTGAGATGAGGAGTGGGGGGTGAGATGAGGAGTGGGGGGTGAGATGAGGAGTGGGGGGTGAGATGAGGAGTGGGGGGTGAGATGAGGAGTGGGGGGTGAGATGAGGAGTGGGGGGTGAGATGAGGAGTGGGGGGTGAGATGAGGAGTGGGGGGTGAGATGAGGAGTGGGGGGTGAGATGAGGAGTGGGGGGTGAGATGAGGAGTGGGGGGTGAGATGAGGAGTGGGGGGTGAGATGAGGAGTGGGGGTGAGATGAGGAGTGGGGGGTGAGATGAGGAGTGGGGGGTGAGATGAGGAGTGGGGGGTGAGATGAGGAGTGGGGGGTGAGATGAGGAGTGGGGGGTGAGATGAGGAGTGGGGGGTGAGATGAGGAGTGGGGGGTGAGATGAGGAGTGGGGGGTGAGATGAGGAGTGGGGGGTGAGATGAGGAGTGGGGGGTGAGATGAGGAGTGGGGGGTGAGATGAGGAGTGGGGGGTGAGATGAGGAGTGGGGGGTGAGATGAGGAGTGGGGGGTGAGATGAGGAGTGGGGGGTGAGATGAGGAGTGGGGGGTGAGATGAGGAGTGGGGGGTGAGATGAGGAGTGGGGGGTGAGATGAGGAGTGGGGGGTGAGATGAGGAGTGGGGGGTGAGATGAGGAGTGGGGGGTGAGATGAGGAGTGGGGGGTGAGATGAGGAGTGGGGGGTGAGATGAGGAGTGGGGGGTGAGATGAGGAGTGGGGGGTGAGATGAGGAGTGGGGGGTGAGATGAGGAGTGGGGGGTGAGATGAGGAGTGGGGGGTGAGATGAGGAGTGGGGGGTGAGATGAGGAGTGGGGGGTGAGATGAGGAGAAGGGGGAGAGGTGAGGAGAGGGGGGTGGAGTGAGGTGAGGAGAGGGGGGTGGAGTGAGGTGAGGAGAGGGGGGTGGAGTGAGGTGAGGAGAGGGGGGTGGAGTGAGGTGAGGAGAGGGGGGTGGAGTGAGGTGAGGAGAGGGGGGTGGAGTGAGGTGTGATAGAAATGAAGCTCAACTGATTGATTAGTAAAGAAGGCACTAGGCCTTAAGTACAACGAGGTTGGGTTGGGAAAGGCTAGGGAAAGGATGGGATGGGAATCCTAGCAAATCTCCTATTGGTGAGTTGGCAGATTTGCAGGATTACGAGGGAATCCCAACCAGATAGGGTTGGTATTACAAACTACACCCAACCCGCAAATAACCTATGCGATATAAAATATAGTACAAAATGTTGACAGCCTAATTCTAACACACCCCCTAGGCTGCAACACATCAGCCACAAGGAGGCCCAACACCCATGGCCGAGAGGAGGCGATAATGGTCCTCGCGAACAAGCGACTTGGTAAACAAGTCAGCAAGGTTACAGTCGGAGGCAATGTGTTCAGCCTTCAGCTGCCCGCGCTGCACCAGCTCACGAAGGAAGTAGTGACGGACTTCAATGTGCTTCGTGCGGCCGTGGAAAACCGGGTCCTTGGTGAGATGAATGGTGCTCTCGTTGTCACACCAAAGCGTTGGGGTTGGTTGAGGATACCCCAATTCTGTTAGCCGGAAGGAGAGCCAACGAGCCTCCTGAGCAGCCATGGTCCTGGCATACAGCTCTGCCTCACAGGTCGACAGTGAGACGGAGGACAACCTAGTGGAGCGCCAACTGACAACCCCACTGCCAAGGGTGAAGCAATACCCTTGGGAAGAGCGCCGATCACTCTGGTCATCAGCATAGGATGAGTCACTGTACCCCTCAAGGCGAACAGGGGAAGGGCCGCCAAGTGTGAGCACATAATCCTGTGTGCCTTTGAGATAGCGAAGAACCCGCTTGGCGGCAGACCAGTGGTGGCGAGTGAAGCGACCAGGTGCAACGTAGCGGGACAGGACACTGACTGGATAGGCTAAGTCCGGTCGAGTGCACATCATCGCGTACATGAGGGATCCCACGAGCTCGGGGTAAGGCTCGTCACAGGGCTCAGGTGAGGGAACAGAGGGTGCAGTGAGTTGGTGGTGCAGAGAGAGTGGGGTAGGCATTGGTGCTGCTTCCTCCATCTTGAACCTCGTCAGAACGTTGTTGATGTAAAACTTCTGCGAGAGGGTGATGGTGCGGGCTGTGCGATCACGTGTGATTTCCATTCCCAGATAGTTCGTCAGCTTCCCGAGGTCCTTCATGGCCAGCTTCTCACCAAGTGTGCTTTTGACTGCTGCCAGCTCAGTTTGATCCTTGGTGACAAGAATCATGTCATCGACATAAACCAGGATGAAGAAGCGGGATGGTGTTGCTCGGATGAAGAGGCTGGGGTCAGAGGTGGATGGGTGAAAGTCGAGGGACCCTAAGGTGCTCTTTAGCTTGTTGTGCCATTCCCGGGGAGCTTGCTTGAGGCCATACACTGGCCGATTCAGCTTCCATACAGTGCCTGGTGGAAAAGGAGCTGGAAATCCTTCGGGCCGCTCCATGTAGATTTCTTCTCGAAGGATCCCTTGCAGGAACGCAGAAGACACATCCATGCAGTCAACCTCCATGTCATCTCGAGCAGCGACGTCGAGAAGGGTGCGCAGGGTGGGAGGTTTGGCGGTGGGAGAGAATGTCTCAAAGAAATCCAGTCCATGCTTTTGGGTAAATCCCTTGGCACAGTACCGGGCTTTGAAGACAGGAAATTCGCCTGGAAGTTGTTTCACCCGGAAAACCCATTTTCCCTTTACAATGTTGACGCCGGAGGGAGGAATGATATCTGTGAAAGTCCCTGTGTGAATAAAAGCCTCACACTCTGCGATAATGGCCCCTATCCACTGAGCGGCGTTAGGACCAGAAACTGCTTCAGCATAGGTGAGAGGTGTGGGGATGGAGGGGTTGTCGGAGAAATTGAGGGTGAGAGAGTCTGCGATGTCGGGAAAGAGGAAGCAGAGCGCGTGGATGGCTGAGTCGATATCAATCAACTCCTCATGTCTGTCTTCAAGGAGGGAGGGCATGAGAGAATAATCACCCCCGACAGGAGGAAGATTGAGAGAGACGCGAACGGAAAGGGAGAGCGGTTGTGGAGGTTTGCGAGAGCGGGTGCGAGAAGCGATGGGGGAGGGAGGCGGGGCTGGAGGAGGCGTAGCGGTAGGTGAGGTGGGAGCGGGAGAGAGAGAGGAAACAGGAGCGGGATCAGGGGTAGGAGCAGGAGGCGGAGGAGGAGGGGGAGGAGGAGCTGGGCGGCGGCGGTGGTAGGTCTTGAGAGGAACGGGCTCGGTGGGAGGAGGGGGAGCGAGAGCGGGAGGAGGTGCGAGAGGAGAGGGAGGAGGGGGAGCGGAGGAGGGAAGGAGCGAGGGAGACTGTGTGGTACTGGAGGGGGAAGAGGGTGAAGGGGGATCAGAAATGGTGGAGGGAGCGGGAAGAGGAGGAGATGGGGTGTCGGGAAGATGGAGACTGTCAAAGTCAGCCCACGTAAGAGAGGGAGGCGGAGGAGTGGGGGAAGCCTTGGAGGAGGGGTAGAACGGGTGGGATTCATCGAAGTAAACGCCCCGGCTGCGATAGAGCTTGTTGGTGGAAGGATGGAGGAAGAAGTAGTCTGGTGAATCTAAGTTGTGCCCGAGGTACACGCACGTGATGGTTTTTGGAGCAAGTTTGCCGCCAGCCGCACGACGGCCTTGGGAGTTGAGGAGGACATAGGAAGTGCACCCCCATACACGAAAAAGGCGGACGGATGGCTTTTGACCCGTCCACATCTCAGCGGGGGTGGTGTGGGTGTGATGAGGATGGGGATGGAGATTGTGGAGGGCGGCAGCATGAAGCATGGCGTACCCCCAGAGAGAGGGAGGGGCGGAGGCGTGCGTGAGGAGGCAGCGAGCAATCTGCACCAATGTACGGTTCCGACTCTCGGCAACACCGTTCTGTTGGGGACTGTCCGGGAGAGTGAAGGTCTGACGGATACCCTCAGTAGAGCAGAAAGCTTTGAGAGTATTGTTGCGAAATTCACCGCCACCATCAGAGTGAAGGACCTTGATGGTGGTGTTGAAGTGTTTATGAGCCTGCTTGGCCCATTCAATGATGACGCCTGGGGCTTCAGATTTGGAGGAGAGAAGGTGGACAGACACATAGCGGGAATAGTCATCAATCATGACAAGGAAGTAGAAGTGTCCGCCGCGAGAACGAACAGGAGCTGGGCCCCAAAGGTCCATGTGCACGCGATCGAGAGGTGCAGCCGAGATGGACTCAGTGGGGGGATGAGGCTGTTCTCGAAGCTTGCTCTGTGCACAGTCAAGGCAAGGCGGTCCGAGGGTGGAGGTAGGAGAGGGAAGTGAGGTTGGAAGCCCGTGGAGGAGTTGTTTGGTGGCAAGGTCCGAAAGCGCGCGGAAGTTGATGTGGCCAAGGCGGTGATGAAAAAGCATGGTTTTGTCGGAAAGGAGACGGCAGTGACAGGTGGAGGAGTCTGTGGAAGGGAGCGGAAGGTTTGTGAGTGAGCACATTTGAATGGGAGGGACTACGAGCGTGTATAGGTTGTTGGCGTTGAGGGTAAAGCGGGCTAGATGAATGCCGGTTTTGGCATCAAAGAGGTTACAGTAGTCGACATCATTGGGAAAGATGGTGATCACTCCTGCCTGCTGGATTTCACTCTGTGCCAGGAGGTTGTGGCAGAGGGTTGGGGCACAAATGCCAGTAACTGTGCCCGATGGAAAGGCTGGACAAGGAACTGTGGAGGACCCATGGCATTGGATGGAAAAACTGGAGTCGGCTCCGAGGAGTGGGATGGGAGCCTGGTAAGGAGCGAATGCGGTTTGGTGTTTGAGCACTGTGTGGGTGGCACCACTGTCTAGTATGAACTCAATCCCTTGTGTGTTTGAAACACCGATGTACTGCGACCCCTTCTCATTAATAATACCAGCACCAGAGAACAATAGGTTGAGGCGAACATCAGATGGGGTGCTATCAACTGAGGGACTAGGTTCCTCCACTGCCTCGACCTGGTTCACGCGACGGGGTGGGGCCCAGTTGGGAGGGCGCTTGTTGGAGGAGACACCATGGACGTCGTACCACTCATCATCTCGTTTCTTGAAACAAGTGGCCTCAGGGTGGTTGGTGCCTCCACATTTCTGCCCCGCACGTGGACCCTTCCTAATGATGTAGGGGCATGGGGGAAAGGAGTTGCGCCTTGGTCCCTGCTGGGAGCGGAATGGGATTCCAGGGGTGTAGCGCACAGCATTGACGGATGCTTGGGCTGCAAGGTCCTTTTCGGCGGAAAGGAGAGCCGATGCGACTTTTTCGAAGGTGAGTTCCTTGGTGGGAAGTTGCTTGAGCATGGAGCTGGTAACATTGTAGGCCGGGGTCAGTCCTACAATGATCCCAATGTCCTTGAGTTCCTCATGGATGTTGCGGATTTCAGAGATATAATCTGCTATGCCAGGGCATTCCTCAAGGCGGACCTGAAACATTCGAGGAATGAGGATGGCAACACCTACTGCTGTCTTGTCATGAAAACGATCCTGGAGGAACTTCCAAATGGCATGAGCGGAGTGGAAAGTGCGGTAGGATTTGACAAGCTCGACCGGAGTAGTGGTGATGAAAACCCTAATGACTGCTGCGTCTGCCTGCTCCCACACACTGAAATCAGTCTCGTACTTGGTGGTCTTGTCCTCAAAAGCAGCCTTCTCTGCGGCAGTGGCGCTTCGCCAAGGGGATCGGGAGGGAGAGGCATTTTTCCTTTGCCACGGTTGAGGAGGATGTCCTTGAGGCAAATCCCATTCAGCTCTGTGCTAAGGAGGTGCTTCTCCACCCCATAGCACCATTCCCCAAAGTTGGTGCTCGTGCCGTTGGGAGCGAGATTGAGAACGATGAGGTTTCCGACGAGGGTGGGAGTTGAAGTGGTCATTTTGCGGGGAGCGCAGCGCTAAAGTCTCCGATACGTAGCGGAGCGAAGCGATTTCGGTAAAAAGATTGATGAAGTCCGAAACGCAAAAATGTGCGATTTCGGTAAAAAGATTGCGATTCTTGTCCAGCGGCTCTGCTTCGCCGATGACCCCTTTTTCTGCTGCGCCGCTGACCTGTTCCGCTGCACCGCTGACCTGTTCTGCTTTGCCGCTGAACTGTTCTGCTGCGCCGCTGACCTGTTCTGCTGCGCCGCTGACCTATTCTGCTGCGCCGCTGACCTGTTCTGCTGCACCGCTGACCTGTTCTGCTGCGCCGCTGACCTGTTCTGCTGCGCCGCTGACCTGTTTTGCTGCGCCGCTGAACCTGCTCTGCTGCGCCGCTGAACCTGCTCTGCTGCGCCGCTGAAAACCTGTTCGAAGTTAAGAATGTGAGAAATTTGC